GAGAATTCTCCAGGCACAGTATTCCAGTTTATATACAAGGCACAAATAAAACAATTAAATTTGCAAATAAAAATCCCATTTATTTAAACAATATATTCAGTCCGTACAGTAAAGGTGTGAAAAAAATTAAAAGAGTCAATGCTTTGCGGTATGCTGTTATCTTTGATAATGTAAAGAATGCAAATTATCTGTTGTCTAATTCCTCTTTCTTGTTATCGCATGAAATTAAAGCTTTCATCCCTTGCAGCTGCAACTTCAGAATGCATAGGAATTATTAAATACATCCCTGTTGATCTCAGCTTCAAACATTTTTTTGATAAACTTATTAGTTCCCAGGAAATATTGGCTGTACGCAGATTTACTAGACGAACTCCTGATGGTATTGTTCCATTGCAGACTGTTTCAGTGACATTTGCAGGTAATGTACTGCCCGAACGTGTGAACTATGGTCTATGTCTTGTACCTGTGGAGGAATATATTAAGCCAGTGTTACAATGCTATAAATGTATGGGTTATGGTCATACTACAAAGATTTATAAACGTAACATTGTATGCTCAATATGTTCAGAGTCTCATTCATACAAAGAATGTACCAACAAACCACCACCACCACCACACAAATAAACCACTTTGTGTCAATTGCAAAGGTGAACACATTGTCGTGGCTAGGACTTGTCCAGTTAAATTAATGAAAATAAAAGTAAAATAATATAAGTAAAATCGTTCTTTCCTGCACTGAAAAAGTCTTATGCCAACGCAACTAGTTCTAAACCTTTAAATGTAGCTAGTGAAAATAACAAAGTACAGTATATTTTAACCGAAATTATTAATAACGAAAAAGAACTTAAAGCTATTATCGAAAAATTGCTTATGTTTTGTAATAAAGAAAATAGCTTACCAATTAATTATTCCACTATAGAAAATTATTTACTCTATAAGAAAATAGAAGCGCTGAAAAAAATAATACTTAAACAGGAGAAGGCAATAAGTTGGAAACACTTATGCTTTAGTTTTGATAGAAATACTCCAATTAGTTGCATTTGGAGATTTGTTAAAATTCTTAATCACAAAAATTCACAGAGATGAAACGTTTTTACAAGATTTTTTACTGAAAATTGCTCCCTATCAACTTCCAGTTAATACAGATCAATTAAAATATTTTTTTCAATACAATGAATTTAATTCTCACCTTACATTAGGTACCTTTTTCACAAGCAGAATTTAACTTGTCTTTAACTAATAAAAAAGTTACCTCCCCAGGTTTAGATAATATACCTTATATTTTAATAAAACATCTTGATCCAAACGCTAAGTCTATTTTATTAAAAGTTTTGAACGATTTATGGAACAACGGGTTAATACCTGAAACATGGAAAGTTATTACAGTTGTCCCTATTTTAAAACCAGATAAAGATCCTTAATGTACAGATTCATATCGTCCCATATTTTTTCAAAATCTTTGAAAATGTGCTAAAAACAAGAACAGAATTGTATGCAGAGTCTAGATTAATTTTACCCCATGATCAATTCGGATTTCATAAAGGCCGCATTACAATAGACAGCATATTAAAATTTTCCGGTGACATACAGGATCCGTTTGTTCATGACAGTTATTTAGTTAAGTACTTTTCTTGATGTAAGTGGAGCTTTTGATAACGTTGATTTATCAACCTTAGTTGAAATACTACACAGCTTCAATATACCTGGCAAAATTTGTAAATGGATTATTAACTTCTTTTACTTCCGAACAGTTTTCATTAAGTTTAATAACAGTTTACATGGTCCTAAAACTTCATTCAAGGGCTTACCGCAAGGAGCGACATTATCACCTTTAATATATTTATTATATACATCACAGATTCATAGATTTGTATCAATTCCACAAATACTGTTCTTCAGTACGCTGATGATATTGTGTTGTATACAGGTAATAAGAACTTATTACAAGCAGAATCAATTTTAAATGAAGCATTACATCACTTTCATTCGTATTACAAAGACAAATTAAAATTAGATATTAATCCAAATTAAAGTTCTGTTCTGGTATTTAATAAGAAAAATGATTATTTAAATTCTGTAAATATTGTATATAGTTCAGTAAATATTGCGACTGTCCAAGAAAAGTGTTCTTAGGTTTAGTGTTTGACACAAAACTTAATTTTGATCATGATGTTAATAAAATTGTCCGTAAAATGCAGAGGTCTGTAAATATAATGCGACATTTAGCTAGTGTAACAAAAACAATTTTGTTTCGTAAATTAGATATCATACAAAATAGGGGTCTGAGAATTAATACAGGAGCTATCTGTTCCACGCCTATAAACTCTCTAGAAATTGAAGCAGGTATACCTCCTATATATGTCAGATTTTGGTATCTCTTTGAAAAAATGTTTATAAAAATTTTAGCAAATAAGATCTATTGTTATATGTATGAATGTAATAAATCTTTACAATGTGAACATTTGAAGGAATTGAAGTTGATATGTAAACAAATAGACCATAAGGTTAACTGGGAATTCGGTACAACAGAAATTCATTTGACTACTCCTAAAGTTTGTCATGTTAAACTTTAGGAGTAGTCAAATGAATGTTGTCAAAAAAATGTTGTTTGTAGAATTCATAAGCATTGAAAAACCTGTACATCGAAAAATATACACAGATGGTTCGAAGACAGAAGAAAATACGAAGGCTGCATGTTATGATTCAAAAGCAAAATTTGGGAGATGTTTTAGTTTGGACATAAATTCATCTATATTTACAGCTGAAGCTTATGCCATTTATACCGCTCTGCAATATATCAGAGGAATCAGAGATAACAAATATTTTTTTGATTATAACCGACTCGCTTAGTGTCCTTACCTGTCTGAAGAATGTATCTATTTCGTATAAAAATATCACATACATCACAAAAATCAGAGAGCTACTAATGGAAAACCTAGACGAAGAAATTGAGTTCTTATGGGTACCATGTACCATCTCACTCAGGAATAACATCAGGAACAATAATAGGCAATGAAACTGTGGACAACCTAATGAAAATAGAACATCCAATATTAAATAACAATCCTTATCTTGCACCTCCAGTTCCGCTCACAGATTACAATGCTGTTTTGAAGTGTCGAATGTATCACTATTGGCATGAAACGTGGGCAAACACAAAACTTTATAAAGGAAATTGGTATGCCTAGATTCAAAAAAGAATTCCAACCAAGCTTTGGTATTTCAAATGGAAATTTCTACCATGAAAGTTCATCACTACAATTAATAGATTGCGATTTGGCCATGGCAAATTCCCAGCACACTTGAAGCGAATCAAGAGTGTTTCCTCGGATATATGCGAGCATTATCAGTCAACAGCAGCTACATTAGATCATTTGATTCTGTATGGTCCTGCCTTCAATGTCCAAAGGTTGCTTCTAGTAGATGGCCTAATGAAGATATATAAAGACGAAGACATTCCCCGCCTCTTGCCATCGCTACTGAATGTATTTACAAGTTCATAATTTCAACTTTTGATTTAATATGAAAACTTGATGCTGTGTACAATATAAAAGGATATTTTACCTTTATAAAGAACAATGTACTAAAAAGATGTGGCTGTATGGATGTTTCCAAAGCTGTTAAAAAATAAACAAAAAAAAATGTCGCGTTTGTATGAACTGAAACTAAAACACTAAAACCTTATAAAAAGCTATTGATAAGGAAGTTTTATATATAATGCATATTTTATATTTGATGATTGTTAAGAAGACAAAAACTGGGCGCCACTTAATTTGTTGTCTGAGCTGTCGTACAAAGTTGAGGTGTTGGTTTAAAGGAAAATGTAAGAAAATGTCTTTTGCTTAACCTGTAATATGGCGCAAACCCAAAGACCAAAGGAGAAGAAGGGTGACTGCTATCATTGTATCACTAATATAAAAGAATTTTCAAAGAAATCCAAGTAGGGGAGGCCGGAGCTGAAAGTTCAGATTTTTAAATAACATGGAATTATATGACGAAAATATAAAAGAAGTGACATGAGCATCTTTCTATGCAGTTGGAAAGATCTCAGTCTCTATGGAGTGATTAAGGATGTATGTGAGGCCGTAAACTGAACACCCGAGGGCGCAGTGGTGGTGGTGACTGCGGCGCGGGCAGTTCATACGAACTTAAGCATTTCTATCAAGTTGCGCGAGCCGCACGTAGCTACGGGGTCGCTACCGCCATCAAGGCCGCGGGTTTCAAGTTTGCGGCCTAAGGACTGGAAAGACTTCATCTAAGATAACCAGAGTTATTTTACGGCTTACATGGTCACTACCTACAGCCAAAGACGATATTAACGTAATGCTCTTCTTAACATCACAGAGGGCAAATCGACTAAGAGAAAATAATGAATTACTAGATCAAAGAACGAGATGAAAGAAAATTCAATGAATTCGACTTGCTGGAATCGAATCTAAGCTATATGCGGAACGAAGGTGTTTATTAGGCAGATTCATATTTATGCTTGTAGTTGGAGATATTTGTCGTTGCTTTCCAACGGTTATAGATCTTAGAAATTTCCAGATTTTAGCTGGACAAGCATTTCCAAGCGAGTCGAATATATGACGCTATGCATTCCTACATATCTTATTGCAATTATTGCCGATGTTGACATTTTTTTCTCAGTAAGTGTGGCGAGACTTGTATCTTGTTTTAGCGGCCGCTTTAAGTTCAGGTAACCGTTTGATGTCTTCTGAAATCCAAGATGATGAACGATGCTTCATCTTAATAGGGCGAATCATTGAAACTTGTGAGATTTGATGCGTTTTATAGATCTTTAATGTCATTGTAGTTACATATTAATTTACATTCAATAAGAAGTTGCTAAATATACTTTATTTGTTCTTTATTGCATAAAACAGAAATAAACCGAGGACATAATGCCTAAATTCTCTACCAGTCAACCCCAAATGGATGTTGGAAATTGGTTGTTAGGCGAGGAGATCGATTGGAGTTTAATTTAACCTTACGACTCAATCAAAACATTACAATAAACTTGCAATTAAAGATTATTAACAAGTAATAAGAGGAATATTTTTAGTATAGTTTTATAAATAGCTTAGATATGTAGTCTTATAATTAATATATCAATTATTATCATAAATATTATTTCACAGCCTGGGTACAATTTTTAGATTAACTCCGTTTACAGTACGTAGTATAAGTTCTGCTGCTAATATTGGAACTTGTCCTGTTGGAAGAATTATGAAGTTTCTTATAATTTCCGATATCGTCACTTTCATTTCCATCATTGCGAATTTCTGACCTGTTAAATTATTTGTATATTAGTTCTGGACTGTCAACTTTTATGGTTAACTGGAGATAGCAAGTAGGTATACAAAATCCAGAAGGACCTAGTCTTCTATCCTATCACCTCCTATGCTTCTAACTGATCATGGATGATAAATTAAAAAATACCAATGCAATTCCTTGGACCAGCACTGAACGGTAGCCACGTGAATGGGTTCCTTCCAGTATTCTCAAATCTTTCAGGCCTGAACTCTAATGGGTCTTCGTATACTCTTGGATCACGTTGCATATTAAAAAGGTCTAGTACAATTGAAGTATTTTTCGGTATACGCATTCCATTTATTACTGCAACAACGTATGAATTATAATAAAATTATTTGTAACAACATAAATATTTACATATATTTCAGAATATTTTGTTAATATTTTATGGTGTATTTTCAAAAAAATTACGTTATTTGCTATCTTTATTTAACTACTGGTTATTTAATATAGCAAATAAAGAATTATTATTATTATTGTTATTATTTATACTTATTACTCAAATAATAATTCATCCATCTTTTACATATTATTTTTGATTTTATTATTAGTCAATTGTGATGATAATCATACTTCTCCATAAGCTTGAATAAGTAAAATATTACTCTGTGATTTACATCAACCTACATCGAATTATTTATAATTAAAGTCACTAAATATGGAATAGAATACCAGTAAAGGTACTGGAATACTAAAATTACTTCTGAATTTATTTTTTAGAAATGTAAATGGACTTTGCAATAAGGCACACGAATACGAATCGCGAATTTCCTGGACTTGTTGCCAATTTAAATATATTCCCCTTTTAGGTATAATTAAAGAAGGAATTTCAATTTTACATATAAGGGATTACTTCCATACTCGGCTACTTTCTTCTACTTATAACAATACATATTTTTTTTTTGAATACCAACCGGTGTCTTCCAGAATTTTTCGTTGGATTATCGGTACAGAAGGGAATAGTCGTAAAGATTCTTTTATTACAAATTCCAAGTATTTCATTTGTTGCAGGTCACTGAAAAATGCAAAAATACGTCAGCAGAGAAATCAAAAATAAAAAATTCGATTAATTGTAAACCAGTTCCTAATAACAGTCCAGTCCAACAGTTCTTATAAAGCTGAACATTGATTAGTGCAGACGTTAAATAAACCATTACAAATAAAATGAGAAAAAAACCCGTAGATATTCAGCAAATAAATAAACAAATAAACATATACATTTTTATAGTATTTTTATATTATCGTAATACAAGTTTTCAATTTCACAATTTTTGTCCTGCTCTCATTTTTGCTAAGTTTCAGAAACTTACTTGCTCGAAGGACTTCTATCGAATTCATGCCCGAAAATATTTTTTTGTTCCTGAAAAACCTTTTCTTGAATATCTTGATTCTGTGCAAGGCAGTAAAGGCAAAACGTAATTGCAGAGGTGATTGTATCATGCCCCTAAAATAATAGATAAAAATATTGTTCCTAAAATAGAATATATGTATTTCATTTGTAAAAATACCTAGTAATATGAATATGATTGGTTGGATCATTGAATCATGTATTATTTAGTTGTAATCTATTCATTATTACAAAAATTGTTTTACAACGTTGTTGTTCTATTGAAACGCTTGATACGATAGTTTCTTGATGATCTTATATCAACTTACTGCCCATAATAAACTCACTTACCTCAAATAAAAACGTATCAACTTCTTCCCTAATCCATTGGTCACTTATTTTCTTACCATCCACTTCAGCCAAAAGAAGCAAATCAAGGAACGTATGTTTGTTTTTAGTTCCTGCAAATAATAAATTTAATATTGTAGCCGATTTTCTGTAGGTGAAAGAAGTTATAATTTATGGTAACGAAATTATTTTTGTATTACTATGCCAGAAAATCTAGGGTAGATAACATAATCGCAAATCCGGATATTGTTAAACACAGGTGGTAGATAACATACCTCGTTGCGTGACATTCTACTATTCGTAGGAATAAACATGACATTTGAAAGCCTATTTTAATTCTCCGGAAAGGAAATTTCGTCTTCTTTCGAATTTGTAATACGACATCAAATATACACATTTTTCGATAATTTATGATGCAATGGATGACGTGATCGAGGCAGCTGTGATGCATAAACGTATGATACGAAATTTTCAAAATCCTCGTTCGAATACAAAAAGAATTAGATCTCAGCTAACCAGCATTTAGAGCAGCAAAGGGAACCCGGATAACTAGATATTCGATGGTTAGTTAGTGGGGATTCTGTCTCAATTTATCTGTGAGCATATTTCTAATAGATGGCATCTGAAGCAAATTAATCATACTTAAATTATTGCGAAATCTTATTAAAGCACTTTTGCAATATTTTTTACCATGTTTGGTATGTAATACCAGCTCTGATATGTTCATTTTCTTCAATTCTTCTTGACGTGCTTTTATAATTTTTATAGTTTGCCCATGAAGAATTTTCAATGCCTTATCTTGTTTCGTTTTGTATGACGTCAAAGGGAACAACAAGTCCAAAAAAGGGTTCCACATTCTCTTTGAAATTACTGTAGATATACTAAAATATTTGAAAATAAAATATTACATAAGTTATATATGTTTATACTAACAAATACAAAGATACAAACTTTATTTGCTATATAAAATCAAAGTTATAAATTAATAGGTATAACACTCAGTGGAAGGAAATCTCCCAAAATCACTTTAAAAAACGTTTTAGATTTATTACATTGCTGATTTATCGCCGAAGCAAATTAGTGTGACATCAGTATAGTTGGATGCCGATGCCGATGATAAACATGCCGAATGGCATGAACCTACGCATACGTAAATACGCATATGTAATTTTTGAAGTGCCGCTTGTATCGACGCGAAGAATGTCTTCTTCGATTTCTACTAAAAAGATGCTTCATATTGTTATATAATCGCAAAAAAAGAAAGCTTAACTGGCATCATCTTTATATAAAAAAGTAATATTTGTGTTGCTGTATAACAGATAACAACCATTTATTCCGTTTTATGCTGCCAATTTTCGTTCATTTCGAGCATCTTATTGGTTATGCAAGACTTATTAAAAAAAAATTTTCGTATACTGAGCATACTGACGTCCCTCTATTGCTGCGTTAACAAATCAGAAAAGGGCAAGACGCTTTTTGACTCAAAAAAAAATTGCTATTCATATAGCAAATTTATCAAATTTTCTTTATGCCAACAAGAATTATTAGAATTTTATTTTTTTATGTTTTATAAAGCTATAAAAATAAAACAAAAACTTATAAAAAAGGTTTACCTACATTTTTAAATTATTCTGGAAATAAAGTACCAAAATGTTCTGATACAAGTTATAAGAAAAAGATGAAGAATCTAAAAAAAAATAAACTGGTCACTTGAAACTTTTCCTCATTTCCTAGCGCTGAGTATATTGTCCTTTATATGAAAAAAATATTTTTTACATACAAACTAGGTAAACTTAGATTTTTTTTTTCACTTACGCGTCTACAGCTTTTACGAATTCAGAGCCCGAGTCACCTTGTGCATTAAACGATACAGCCATTATAGATTCTGTAATATATTTCACATCATAAAATTAAATATTATTACACCATTGCTAGTATTATATATTTAATGCCTTAACAACAAGGCGCTACCGCACTTGGCGAGGACGACCGATGATGGGTTTTATGCAAAAAAATTTTGGATTTACGCTTCCTCTTAATATAACGCACATAAAAAGCAAGTGTCTAAATGAGAAACGAAAGAAAAATTATATAAATACTCCTATTGACATTGTCAGCCAACTTTTTCTACAATGCAAATTGTCGTCTACGGGCTTAATACATGTTATGATTGCGAACGATATAATTTAAAAGTAGTTTACGGAATTCACATTTTTTAACAAAAGTGTTGAAATTGTTGACATTGTTACGTAGTACAGACCAAGAAGAAGATCTTCTTGGTCTGTGTTGAGTTGTCTTCACAATTGATGGTCATATTGGTTATTAATATTTTTTTAATGCTGTCTTGGCTTTAGTAAGTTTGAGGTTGTTCATCATCCAAAACGTTCCGAGCAAAACTTACTGGCAGGCCTACTACGTAATTAAATTAGCATCGATTTGTTTGATATTGGATTCAATCAAAATGTATTCAACGTTCAATACTGTATTGTTAGATATAGTGGGTAAGTTCAATATATCGTATTGGGTTGAATTGAAAGCACTGAACGTGCAATAAAGCATTGAAATGTTAACAAAATCGGTGTCAATTTAGTTTCGCGGTAAATTTGCAAATTTCAAAGTTGAAAGTGAGAAATCATACGGTTGTACTGGTGTTAGGATTTGTTGAATAAGGAAGTAATGTAATCGGTACCTTAATAGTCTATATCTATACTAATAATAAAGCTGAAGAAATCTTCAGTTTGTTTGTATGATTGAGCTCTATAATCTCAGGAAATACTGGTACGGATTGGATTATTTTTTTACGTTGAATAGTATATTTATCGTGAAAGGCTATAGGTTATATAATATTACGCTATGGCTAATTATAGTAGAGCAACAATGAAAAATGTTGCAAAAACGGGACAATATTTTACTTTTTTAAAGCTTTCCTTACGTGTGCTGCGTAGACGGTGAAAGTTACGCAAATATCATGTATTACGAAATTATTAGTAATGTCTATCTTAGATCGTATCCCGAAAAAAGCACATAAAGGGCTGAAAATGGGAGTGGAAGTTCATATAGTGCATTAAATGGTTACCATAGAAACAATTGTTTACAAATCAATTTGATTTAAGCTCTTAACGCAAGATTAAATACTGTTTAAATTAATTCAAATCAGTACAATCGTTGCCGCTAATATTAAATGCTTATGTTATATTTGTTAAGTAAAGGAAAATGTTAGATTTAGCTCAGCTACTTATCACTAGATGACACTACTTTACTTTTAAAACGGGATTTTTATTTTTGTTGTTTGTAATTTTTATTTTTTAAAACATGTTTCTGTGTAATAAATTGTACCTAAACATTTATAAACGTTTATAATATTGATCGAGAAGTGTGAATTCTAGATTAAATTTTATTTTTGTTTTATATTAGTTAAGTAATTAACAAACTATTAACTAAAATTGCTGTTATGAGTTAATTAAGAATAAAAAGATAATGCTGGATCCACGCTTGCACTTTGTACTTACCAGTTACATTGTCAAGGGCAGCCAAAGCTATGATAGGAAACAAGTTTGTAGAACAATTCTTTATCGCAATATTATGCAGTTTCTTTATCAATACAGTTGCATTTTTACAAAATATTGGTAGGAATTGATGCAGAATGTTGAAATGAAACGCCGGCGTCAAAAACTTTCGATGTGCTTTCCATCTAGGACCTACAAAACATTAAATAAATGTTATTTTTCAAAGTATTTAGGTATAATACTCAAATAAAAAAGATATAATTTTGAATAGTGTCAATTAATTTTAAAAATATTTATATAAACAAATAATTTAAATATGCATATTTTATACATCCGTCAAGAACGTAAGGTCACACATTGTTAATAAATGTGTAGTTTCTGACATTGCATTGTACTAAATGGGCATATTTAAAAAATAACCGTTTATTTATGACACATTATATTATTGTTTTCATTTTTTGTAAATTGTTTGTACAAAAGAAATTACTTATTATTCTTACATTGATGGAAGTGTTTTTAAGATTTTTTTTCAATGTTATTCATATTGCGATATTCTTTGACAGTAAATAATGTTTTTTTTTCGTTTTAAAGTCGCTATAATGTTTTACCCACAGAACATAGAGAGAGATTAGAAGTATAATGATATTAATTTAGTATGGGAACCGAGTGTCGCCTCTCCGCACACAAATACAGATTAGATGAAATGATCATTTTGTTCACTACATGAAAAACCGCCACGCGATAGGTTCGCGATAACATAAACCAAATCCCAAAAAGATACTAAGCTAAGAAATCACACGATTAAAAACAAACTCTAATTCAACGTGATAATAAATAATTTACTTTAACATGAATGTTGAACTGTCACGTGGCTGTATATGGGGATACCAGAAGGAAAAAAATATTTTAAGATTATGCACATTTAAAAAAATTGGGGTCATCATTTTATGTGCGAACTATTAATATTAGATTTTGCTGTAACCAAGTGAATACTGAAAAATTAAGGCTTTTCCCTACATAATTGATTAAAATATCTTTTAAAAAACGCAATACAAAAACTAAGAAAACTTAATGATACACTCTATCCGATAGACGATAGAGTCTATCGTATGTCTGTGGAGTAATATAATTAAGCGAGGGAAAGTGTAAAAAAAAACAAAAATTAAGAAAACAACAGAATATTTGTATTAATTACATTAAGCCTAATTTGTATTTTTTTTCTTACTGGTATCATTCCGATTGTGCATATTAGTGATGTGACATATTAGTTGATAAAATAAGAGCTTTAAATTTTGTTATGAAACAGTTCAATGTAATTCAGTTCGACAATTTTCTACAGTGGTTTGATAGTAATTATTTAAAGCTTTATTCAAATAAAACGAAATACATAAAGTTTGCATTACCTAATGTGAGGCATGTTAATATACTTATAAATGTAAATAGTGAAAAAGTTGAGATGGTGGAATCGACAAAGTTCCTTGGTATTTTGGTATATTGATAATTTGTCAAGTAGACTGAGTTCTGCAGCATTTGCTGTTAAGAAAATTAGACTCTTAACAAATGTTGAAACGGCAAGATTGGTATATTTTAGTTATTTTCATAGTGTAATGAATGACGTATAATCTATTGTTATGGGGTTCTGCGGCTAGCATTCAAGATATTTTTATTCTACAAAAGAGAGCTGTCCACGCTATATATAATTTACGGTCTAGAGAATCTCTCAGAGAAATATTTAAAGAAATAAATATTTTGACTGTTGCCTCTCAATACATCAATGAAAATATTATGTACGCAAGAAAATATTATGATTCCTTCACAAAAAAAAGTAGAAATAAAAATAAACTTGCCATTCCAAGTGCTTGTAATAGCCTTCTTGAATAAAGATAATTTCATTTCATAATAACTAATATGATCATTACACTAATAAATTGATCATAGCCATGTTTGTTTTACTTTATTATTCTAAGTTTTATATCTGTAATAATAGTAGTAGCTACATTATTAATTGCAACGACTGGACAATAAGGAATTGCTGGTCAAGTATGAGTTTGAAAGCCGTGACAAAAAAAGTTTGAAGATAGACACAAAAGCGATAAGTACGTACAAACGTCAATCTACATATAAAGTCACATCCATTTGAGACATGCGTCTATAAACTTATGTGCAAATATGGAGCAACAAAAAAACTGATAAAAGCTGTTCTGTGGGCGGTTCTTTAAAGTGGCTTTCTTAACTCGATTTCTATAATAATAGTTTCCGATTATGAATCAGCATAATAAGGTAAATTAAATCGACGCCTAAAAATTAATTTTGTTAATTAAATTCACACCACCAACAATATTACGTTAGTTGAAAACATAATTTTTTGTTTGTATAGATATTATGTTGTTTTGAAATTCATTTGATAGGTTTAGGTCTAAAACAGATAGGACAAAATTAATTATGTAAACAAGGCAATCCGTTGTAAAGTTATTAGGGAAACTGAAATATAAGTAATGCAAAATAAGTGAAATCCAGTTTCACCAGTTTCTAACAAGACCTATTAGGCCAACTCTTACCTTTTCACGAAGTTTCGTTTAATTTATGTATTGTTCATAAAACGGTGATATACTTCGTAACTTAGATATTTATAGCACATCAGTATTTTTTAATATTTATCTGCGTGTAAATAATTAACTGAATCTTCGTAAAAAAAGTGCCTGGGCAGTTCATTATTTCATTTGTTCAGTATCAGTTCATCTATAATTTTCCCTTGTAAACAGTATTTTTTAGTTTTATATAATTATGGCATATATTTATCGATAACGTTGTTATGAAATGATGAAAGAAAAGCTCTAAATAAATATGTTTTAGTTATCGATTACGATCCATATAATTAACAATACGATTCCGAGCAGCAGCAGCCTATCGGTACATTTCAGACAAATGGAGGCACAGCACTATTTTTTGCAAAAGTGCACAAAATGATTTACATTGCTGTTTAGTAATGGGGTCAGAAACATTGATGTTGGTTTGAGCAATCAATGTATATTTTATTTAACATTGTGTCAAATTATTACGTTTTTTTATATTTTAGCACTAAAATTGTACTTACCAGTGAAAGGAAATGTTTGCATTAGTTAGATTGTATACTTTGCTTTGCTTTTTGCAAGTGATAATAGCACAAAACGGCATTTTTTATAGAAAAAATCTGTAAAATCACCACTCGACGATTGACGAACGACTGGCAAACATAAAACCGAGGAAAGGGCGTCATATGAGTAAAAGCGCATATGCCAGCCACGCGTGCCCCGCCCACTTACTACTTCTATTCTCTCTCTATGTTCTGTGGTTTTACCAGTTACGTAACTTATAAGACGAAAATTGAACACAAAAAATGTAATATGTTACAATTTTATGAATATTTTTAATCTTTTTGGGTTTCAAAAAATGGAAAAAATTAAATCCATCACCTATATTTGTATGTCTGTCACATCTAAATCATTTTAAAATGAATGGACTACATTCAGTCCATTCATTTTAAAATGATTTAGCTGTCGATGACACAAAGAAGGACAACGTATTTACATTAGTGAATTGGAAAAACGATAGCCTCTTTTAAACTATATTATATGACATAAATAATAATTGAAAATGAAAGACAATATACATTACTCAGATCCCAATTTGAGCAACTAAAAACGAAGGTACCATCACACCCATAGATAAGTTCATTTTCTATTTTGACCCGACCTTGAGTCGCACCTGTGACCTTGGAGATGGTGACACTTTGAAAAAAGCGTATGAACTACAATGTTACGAAGGTCGCCATTAAATATTAAATGTAAAAATGGAAGGGGAGCACAGTCAAGTTAATGCCTGATTTTAGTTTCCAACTAAGTTCAGGAAATAGTTAAGAAAAGTCTTTCGATATACATACCTGAGGATGTCAGTAGTCCTTCACCGAGCCAAGGTTCCATAAAGTAATATGATTTTCCCTTATCAGTAAGCTTGGCACTAGAAACAATTCCCTGAAATTTAATCACTTAATTAACATCCATCTTTAACTATTAATTTCATTATGATCTAAAGTAATTGAACGGATTACGGCTTCATAGTTTTCTGCATCCAGTTTCCATAGGTACTTAATTAATTAATAGCTCGGAATTTCAATTCATTAGATTTATTACAGTAATTTTTGCTTAACATGGTCAATTTTACTATTTTACTTTTTGATTAAACCCAAAACTGTAGAGAAAGATTTCATAAAATGCACGATGGCACGTTTTTGAGCTTCCCAAAATTTTGAAATATTATTGATTATATATGTAAAACAATTTTATAACCACAAAACTGTAGATTTGTCTAATCTACGAAAATATTATTGAACCAAATTTATTACCAGAATAAGTATTACATTATAAGGAATAATGATTTCATTATTTTTAAGAATAAAATCACTAATCATATTTCAATAAAGTCGATAAATATAAATGTAAAATTATTACAAAATGTGATGCATTAATCATATGAGCTGAATTTACATGGCTGCATAGCAAGTTTATATGATTTGTGATAGGGCTCTTAAAGTATTCATTTCAATATATATTTTTTATTTTAATAGTAATTTCATATAAAATTGATAAATACTGAACACATTTCTGTAATTTCTTAAAGTTCTCGAGTTTCAATATAACACACAAAAATACAGTTGCAGCAAACGTCCACAAAGGTTTAATGATTAAATTTGAGAATATGTAATGAAATGAAAAATATCTGGTTAAATTATGTCAAATATCCATGTTCCAGTTAAAATTGGGATCACTTCTCTTGAAGTTGTCTACCATTATGTGTACCTAGGACAGACAGTCCAGCTAAGCAAGTCCAACTACGAGAAAGAGATCTCTCGTTGAATCCAGCTCGGATGGGCGGTGTTAGGGAAGCTACGAAAAATCTTCGCATCTAAATTACCTTAGTATCTCAAGACAAAAGTCTATTTACCCTTTAGGTTATGGGAGTCAGAAGATTCTCAGTTGTTTTATAATCATTTTTTTTGAAATATTCTTTAACAGTTAATGAACAGGATGATCTGGGTAATGGATACTAGGAGGATTGAAAAGTTCGCGGCTTAAAACATAAATACTTAAACTATTTTAATGTAACTGATCTCATTCGATTAGTTTACTCTCTGGTTGTCAAATTGTAAAATTCTATCGTAATAGCATTGACTGTATTTAAATTAGACTGAATTTTGTGAGCCTTTGTGCAGCATTTTAAAGAATGGAGAAAATTGAGCAACGTGCGGTCATCAAATACCTGTTTAAAAAAAACTAACTCCTAAAGCGATTCACAAAGATATGTTAACAACATTGGGGGAATCTGCTCCGTCGTATACGACTGTGAAAAAGTGGGTTGCTGAATTTAAACGCGGACGAGAGAGTATTGAAGATGACCCTCGCTCTGGCCGGCCTATGACGTCTACGTCTGAAGAAAATATCGGGATAATCTGTAATCTGATATTGACAGATCGGAGATTGACCACCAGGGAGATTGCAGATACTATTGGCATCTCGTATGAACGAACACAAAACTTCATAGTCAATGAACTTGGATTTTCTAAGGTTTCTGCGAGATGGGTACTCATATTGTTTTCAGTCGAACAAATAAATACGCCTCACGATTTCGCGCGACTATTTGGAAATGTTTGAGGCTGATCCACGAGATTTTTTATTCAGATTTGTAACAATGGATAAAACTTGTGTACACAACTACACCCCAGAGTCAAAACAGCAATCCAAAGAGTGGAAAAAACGTGATGAACCGACTCCAAAAAAAGCCAAAACAATTTTCTCAGCTGGCAAGATGATGGCGTCAGTTTTTTGGGATGTTAAGGGTGTCATCATGGTGGACTACCTTGCAACAGGTGAAACTATAAATTCGGCTTATTACTGCACCCTCTTACGTCGCGTGCGCGAAACAATTAAGAGAAAAGGCCAGGATTAGACAGCAAGAAAGTGTTGTTCCATCAGAATAATGCACGCGTTCACACGTCTGTTGAATCTAAGGTTTCAATTCGTGATTGTGGCTTTGAATTACTGTCCCATCCCGCCTATTCCCCTGATTTGGCACCTTCAGACTTTCATTTATTCTCAAACCTAAAAATAAACCTTGGAGGTTAAAAATTTTCATCAACTGAGGAGGTCGAAGCTACGGTGGGTGACTTTTTAAGGCTTTGATGAAACTTTTTTTATGACCGGCATACAGGCGTTGGAAACCAGATGGAAGAAGTGCATAGAGTTAAGTGAAGATTACGTGGAAAAATAAAATTACTTTTGCTTATATTTTATATTGTTTTCTTGTTGAGGCCGTGAACTTTTCAATCCACCCTCGTAGATATTTAGAGGTTCATTAATTTTGTTATATAGGTATCCACCAAGGAAACAAGAAACTGTGAGATATAGTAGTTATGAAGTTTCTAGTAATGCAGACTTTACCTTTTCTGCGTTTGTGCTTGATAATTTCAGGGTCATACTTTAATGTTGAGTGTTGTTTTAGAATAATTTGTAGCATGAATAATTGTCTTACCGAGAGGACATCCCAATGTTTGTATAAATCAATAGTAGGAAACCGGAAAGAAAGACCAGCAGCCAACTTCAGAATAACACGTTGGGCTCTTTCTACCTCAATGAGGTGCGTTTTAGCTGCACCCCCCTATATTGTCATTCAGTAGTCCACAAGTGATTGGCATAAAGAAAGATAAACCAATTTGATAAGACTACGATTGGCAACTTATCTTAAACTATAAATAAGTTTGCAGATTCTACAGACGAGATTATTGACGTGTATCTTGAAAATCGATCAATTGTTACTCCAAGATATTTGATGCTGTTGGTACAACAAATTTTGGGACATAGAGTATACAAGAGGGTTGCTGTAATCTCATATGTGGGCTGATATACAAAACGCCTCTAATGGCATTTGATTAGAACGTTAAGCGAATGGCATGTATTTCGTTTTAGCAACATTTAGGGTAAGGACATTATGCTTTAACCACTCACCAATGACATTAAAGCCCTGTTGTGCAACAGTGAAAACTTCCGACCAGAAACCCCCACTGAAGAAAAGAGCAGTATCATCAGCAATTGAAAATTGTTTCCACCGTTGAGATTAAGCTGACATAGTTCATTGATATACACTAGAAACAGTGTTGGACAGATGATACTGCCCTGAGGAACGCCAAAATAAACCGGTACATCACTATTCTCCCAGTCATCGATTTGTTGATGATGAAAGGTATTGTCGCTTTAAACTATTGACAATTTGAAATAGGCAATTGGCAGAAATAAACTTCTCCCTAATATGTAAGTAAAGACCTTGATAGTCAGAAGCTCAGGAGCACGTACGTTTGTAACCTTTTAATAATTTCAAAGACAAAGTAAGTAACGTAATTTTGATTCTAAGGCTGAAGTTAGGGTCAGTTTTATTTTAAATCAGTTGTATCTACTATTCATATTTACCTCTATAAATTTTGGATCTGATGTAAGAATATAGCGTTGTGAAAATAGATATATCAAAGCGGTTTTATCGTATTTTTCTTCTAGACGACTCAGAACATTCATGAACTCTGAAAATAAGATCATCAATAACGTTATGAAAAATGTAACTATTCTAAATAGTTTCAAAATAGGATTTTAATTTAAATCGCAATATTTATTGCGTAATTTAAGTTTAATTCCTTTAAGTAAAATCTGTTATATGTAAATAATAAAGACACTGATTACAAAACAAAATATTTTAGCAATTCTATCCAATAAAAATATTAAGTCAAGTTTTTAGAATATTTTAATAGAAGTAATTTATAGTACCTGTAGATTCTATGGCAAATAGACTATTAGCATTGCCAATCAATGGATAAGGGAGTGGTCCTCTTACATTCGTATGTTTCTTATCTAGATAAAAACTCAACCAGGATACCAACAAAATTATCAACAATAAAACGAGAAATAGAAGCACAAACATTGTTACGTCTCGGTTGATAATGATGAAATGCAAACTGAACAATCGAACGTAGCTAATGCAATAACAATGGTGTTTTAAGTGGAAAGATTTTATAAATAGATAAATTCATTTAAAAAACTTAAATGATAAGTTATCTGTCAACTCGAGATTGGTATTCATACCTATTGTTTAGAAGCCTATTCATTGTTTAGGTTACCTATCGGTTCAATCGATAACCATTTTTGTAAAGATTTGGATAACGATTAATAATGATTAAATAAACATTTGGATTTCAGTTCTAATAAACCTCTATTTCAAAATTGTCCTATACGTATATTATACTGGGAGTGAATGTCACACTTTTTTGAGGGTGTAAAAATTTTAATTACAAATTCAGCGCTATCGTAACATTAGAGGTTTAACTAATTCAAAAGGTATTATTTGGTTGAACTTCTCATGCTGTGTCAGGGCTGTGTCCTGCATAGTATTTTAACAGATTAGCAAAAAAATAATGGTTAGATTGACCAATTAATAAATTCTAATCTATAACGTTTTTTTGGGTTCCGTAATTCAAAATGAAAAATAAAATGAAACCCCTATAGGATCACTTTGTTGATTGTCAGTGTATCAGTCTGTATGCTAAGATCCTTTATTTCAGGAACACGTACTAAAGTATACAGTTCATTAAAGCTGTGAAAAGAATTAAATTTTACTTAATACTATGAAAAAAAATCAGCAATTTTCGCGGTAAAAACGCATATTCCGACACTCTCAAGGGCAATAATATTGCAGTCCTTGAATCCAAATCAATGATATTACAATATATTACAAGCTCTAGGGAATCAAAATTGATATACCTACCTACCGTTGACTTAGGCTAGAAGTATGTTTGGTAAGTAAGTAGTATCACTTTGTAGTAGATATAAATTCAAGGAAAAATCAGAAAATTGTTAATTAAATCATAGAACGTAATAGTCTTCTTCTTCTTCTTGACGACGGGTGTTTTCCGCAAGTCGACACTTGGTGCCTGTTTTGGGTGCAAACAGTGGAAGCCTTAGTCCTGCCAACCCATTTAATCCAAGAAGGATTGTAATTTCCTGATGTCATTGCAAGTGTCCAGTGGTATCTTTGGGCTACCCAGGTGTGCAGTTCTTTGTCACTCTTCTGCAGTGCAGTAGTGCGTGAGCGCTCGTCTCCTCCTCCTCCAGGCAGGCCCTGCACAGTGGACTGTCAGAGATGCCTAGGTTATAAAGGTGTTTGTTAAAATACCCATGTCCAGTGAGAATACTCACAATTTGTCTCAGTGTGTGTCTGGTCTCGGGTCTACCTTAGAGATTGCTTCCCTGGCTTGTCCGCAGCCGGTGAGTTTAGACCATTCTTGGTCATGTTTGCGTTGGTAACGTTCCCGTATCCAACCTCTCAGTAAACTATATGGAATAGGTTCTAACGGTTCCGGTCCGTAGATTACGGTGCCCGAGCCCCTTCTGGCCAAACAGTCAGCCGCGTCATTACCTCTGGATCCGCTATGACCTTTTATCCATTGTAATGTCAAGTCATTGTCTTTACTTACCTCTGTTATTTTACAGTGGCATTCGTATATTAAACCTGACATCATTATGTTGTTGTCCAGCGCTTGAAGAACCGACACACTGTCTGAGAGTTTGCGGATGCTTTTATCTCTAACTGCGCAACTCAGTATGACTTCGGCAGCCCTGATCTTGCCCACGCACTCAGCTTGGAAGACTGTGTTGTGCTACTGAGTGCTACTGGGACATGTATGTTAAGGTCCTCTGAGAATGCTCCTGCCCCCGTACCTGTCTTAGTTTTGGAACCATCAGTACAAATCCTAAGTTCTTTATGTAGACATTTGTCTGGTGCATCCTCGTAAAGTTGTATTCTGTATTTTTTGTGAAATACATACTGTGCAGGAATGAGGTCATTTACTGCCTTGAAGAACGGGTATTCAGCATCGATGTCTTTCATAATGTCCATGTGTTGTGTATAGTGCCCTTTCCATAGCTTTAGCGCCTGTAGTCGTGTAGCCGCACAAGCTGCTTCCTGTTGTATACAGGAATATTTTTTTCCAGTGCAAAAATTTTTTTTGGTGATTCAGTATCAGTAATAGAACACTTTTCCATAATTAGTTTAATTTTTTTTTTAATATTTTATCCCTATTGAAACGGTACAATATGGACACATTTTGCTAAAATAAAACTTCAATGAAAACGTCTTCTCTTGCGTATATCACCGTGCATCCCCGCCGCGCCCGGTAGCCCCCTGCCACAGCCCCCGCCGCCTCTCCGGGACCGAGCGACGCGCGCGACAGTGGCGGCAGTGAGACTCATACGCACGCGCCGATGTGACGTGCCCTCGCGTTCCCGCGCACGCGACGCGCCCGCCATCGTGAGTTTTACGAGATGGTACGAGTTTATCTTCTGAGTGGTGAGAACCTACATAAGCGCTATTCGGAGAAAGTATGCGACGAAGAGCATACCTCGTATGCGGGCCTTTGGGATCCGTAACCCCGCGGTCCCTAATGCTTCGAACCATTTTAACAGACGAAGTCCCAGAGTCAGTACCCACAATGCGGCATGTCTCTTTGGTGTGAGCCAGCCTGCGGTATTGAAGCTGCTAAAAACAGCCGGACTCCATCTGTACCACTTTCAGCTGGTTCAGCAGTTCCATGACCTAGACCCGGTACCACGTCGAGCCTTATGTGAGTGCCTTCCACATCACCGCGATGCAAACATCTTATGGACGGATGAGGCATTGTTCACACGTGAGGGACTGTTTCTTATGGGAAGAAGTCAAACGCCGGGATGTAGAGGAGGCACAAAGTCTAGAAGACTTAACAATAAAAAATAATAACGCTTTTAGTGAAGTGAAAAGTGACACTAGTGTTTTAAATAAATTAAATGACAATCTAATGAAATATGCACGTTTATGTCTGGACAGACGTGGACTTCATTTTGAACAAATAAATACATGGTAAGTAATTAGTTAGGTATTTGTTTTGATTCAACATTATTGTAAATACGTAGTTGATTCCAATTTTTTTAAATACGCCTTAACGCAGAAGTACCTATGTAACTTCGGCATAAGGTTGATATTTTTTTCTAGGTAACGAATTTGTTTCTCTTTTATTTTTTTGCATTTTGATGGCCTTAACCATAAAAGTATGAAGGGAAAATTGGAATAACTCTTAGAAATCACCTCAGATCATGGCATAAAATCTAGTTCGAATCTAACAAAATGAGCGGTTAGTGACCCGTGTAGATAGATACCTACGGCGTCGAGCGAGCGCTCAGCTGACGCACGGCGCGCGGTGTCCATAAATTAAGTTTTAAAATCTCGATCTTTGATAAGCGATATTTTTTAGTATGAGAACATATAAAAATAAAAAATACGTGTTTGTTTAAATTACTTAAAGTTTATTTTCACAAAATCTTCGCAGTGGTTTTAAATTATTCCTGTATATAATGTAGAGGTCTTACGTTCAGAATGGTCTCTAGTGCTGCTGTAGAAGTGGTCCTCATACTGCCAGAAATCGCACGGCAGACTCGTCCTTGAAAACTTTTCAGTTTATCCTTTTTTGTTACCTGTGTTGTTTTGGTCCACCATACTATCGCCGCGTAGCTAATGATTACAGTTACATATAGCCATTTAGTTATGTACGGGGTCATGCCCCAGTTCTTACCAAGCATTCTCCGGCATTGCTAGTAGATGATGAATGACTTACTCAAAACGTTGTCTAAATGTGCTCCCCAATTTAGTTTGGAATCAAGGGTAACCCCCAGGTATCGTACCTCGCCGGACAGACTAAGTGTATCTCTAAAAAGCCTCAGCACCCGGGAGTTTCCCAGATTCCTCTTGTTGGTGAACATGACCAGTTCCGTTTTAGATGGGTTTACCTTCAGTCTATACTCCGAGCACCACTGTTCAAGAGTCAGTGCCCTTTGTGTTATGTCACATACCGTGTCTGCGAACTTACCTGGTATTAGAATTGCCAGGTCGTCTGCGTATCCTATCGTGAGATGGTGTTTAGAGTTTAGTCTAATGATAAGGTCGTTTACCACTGTATTCCAGAGCAGGGGTGATAGAACTCCTCCTTGAGGGCGCCTTCTTGTGGCTAGAGCTCTCAGATGATCATCATCCTGCAGTCTTATTATTCTGTTTCGAAGCATGTTACTTATCCACTGGACGGTCGTCTCCTCGGCACCATGTGTGAGAAGTGCAGTGGCTATGCTCTTGAAACTCGTTTTGTCGAAAGCCCCTTCAATATCTATAAAAGTACCTAAGCACATCCCCTTATGTTTCAAGCTGTCCTCTATGGTGCTTACCACTGCGTGTAATGCAGATTCAGTCGATTTACCTGGACTATAGGCGTGTTGTTTTGGGTGTAGTTTGGTCTTCCTCAATTGGTTGTCCCTTTAACTTTCTGTCGCATAGTCGCTAGAGCGTTTTTAAAAGAAACGAAGAGAGGCTTTTGGGGCTGTAAGATTTAGCCTCGCTGTAGTCCTTTTTACCTGGTTTAGGGATGAAGATAACTTTGACCTCTCTACACAGTTTCGGCGTATAGTTGTGCGCTAAACAGGCTCTTAGGAGAGGTACCACAATATGTGCTAGGGTTTCCCCTACCCACTGTAGTAGTGCTGGGAATACTTCATCCGGACCTGCAGTTTTGAATGGTTTAAAACTGTTTGCTGAATTGCCCACAATACTTTGTCACTCGTTACTGTCTTTTCCACGACGTGCCAGCAGTTGCTCGTCGGTGTCCATGTCATGTCTACGTCTATAGTACTTCCTGGTTGAAGTACCACATTGTCCGGGAAGTGTGTGTCCAGTAGGACCTCTTGAGTCTCTCTTACCGTGGAGGTGTACGGGTCGTCGGCTTTGCGTAGTTGGCTTATGTCTTGTGTCTTGTCTTTTGAAAGCATTTTCCTTACTTTGTTTGCAACAGAGCAGGCATCAATGTCGGTGCATAATTTCCGCCATAACTCTCTGCTCCAGTTCCAGATTCGCTTTTTGTAGTGAGATTTAGCGTCCTTTTATGCGTCCTAGTCGTAGTCGTCACATGTATTC